TTCCCGAGCTGCTCCAGCGTGGGACACCCCCGCATGCTGCAATCCTCCCAGCGCCAAACTATAACAGCGGGGTCTACCTTTTCCCACAGGACCCCGGCCTTCTTCAGGTACAGTCACCTTGCTTAACCATGCAAAACACAGGCCATAAATCAGTGTCTGCTCCACCGTAGATCTTCAAGGGTGGCAGGGGGGGGCCGCCCTGCTGTCTCACCACAGGATACAGGGGGGTCTCTGCTCCGGCACACCTCCCCCTTCCTTTCTTCCTCCGTTCCTCCACTGACCTTGGTGTTCACGCAGCTGCCGCAACTCCTCAAGTCCAACTCCTCACCACGTCCCTTCTTAAATAGGTTATCGCAGAGGCGCAGCCAATTGGCTCAGTTTTGGTGCAGAGGTGGAGCTGACTTGGAGCTGGGGGAGCTTTGAGAAGCTTCTCACAGGGGGCCGCCCCGATAGCCTCCTCCCCTGCCACCAAAAAAACCCCACCAGCATATTGTGCTGATTCAGATGTGGTAAACCAACAATCTTCTTTGCTGGAACTAGCATGATCAAACTGTAGCTGCTCTTCAGCACTGGCAGATCCATTTGCACGCTCTGGGAGAATCATAAGACCTCTAGCAAGAATGCAGGAGGCATCACCCATCAGGACCTTCATAAGTGCTGCCATAACATACTCATACTCTCAATTCTTAGTGGACCCTCTTATTTGAGTAATTCAGATGTAAGCATCAATCCAGAACGACATCAGTTCCAGATCCAAATGCTAGAGCTCAACCCCCTCTTTGGGCTACAAGCTGAATGTAGACTTTCTACATAAAAGGTACAATTCCAAATTTAATATGAAAATCAATTTAAGGAGTCCCAGTACAAACTAGTTAAAATATTTTTCCTTCTCTTTTGCTCCTTCCAGTTCTTTGGCTTCTTTAGGTTTTTGGTTAGGTTTTTAAGTTTGTGTTTGGTATTCTAGGCTCTTTTAGTACTACTTTTTAGCTAACCATAATATTTTAGATAACATGCCATTACCCAGAATGGCCTTCAGTTAACTGAATAAACCATTTCACAGAGTAAACACTGAGTCAACAGGGTTTGTTTTTTTTTTTTTTGCTTACAGTATTTTCCTTCAATTTGTGATGATTCTGTTCAGCCTAACATCAAGTAAACCTTATATAAATACAGCCTGGTTTTCAGTTTGCCACAAATATATATATGATGCACTGCACACAAAACCAATGAACTACATGCAAACTGCCATGTTTCTTTTATACTCCTATCACGCACAATCATACAATATGACCTCAAACATGAAGTACACAGGGATTCACTGGACTTCTTTAGTCAGAGGAGGTTCTTCAATTTAGAGTTGAAACACTGTCACTCTGCTACCGAGGAGTCTCTCAACCCAGAAATAACCTTCTTCTTCACAGCAAGCCTTTGTGACAACTCTGCATCAGTCTTACTCCTCAAGTCAATAGTAAAACTCCCAGTCCTTGGGCACTACAAAAGTGCTCACAGTTATGTTGGCCAGAAGGGACCTCCGGAGGCCTCTAGGACAATCCCCTGCTCAAAGCAAGGCCAACACTGATGTTGGCCAGGTTGTTCAGGACCTGGTCCTGCTGAGTTGTGAAAAATCTCCAGAGATGGAGATTCCAGAGCCTCTCTGGGCCCCTGTTCTAGTGTCCAGCACTACTCCAAGTGTGGTCTCACAAGTGCCATATAGAGATCATCACTTCCGTAAACTTGCAGGCTACATTCTTGCTAACGCAATTCAGGATGAAGTTGTCCATCTTTGCCAGCAGACCACAATGCTGACTCACATTCAACTTGTTGCCCCTCAGAACCCCCTTGTCCTTTTCCTTAAAATAGCTTTTGGTCCTGTTGTCCCCCAGCCTTTACTGATGCATGGGGTTAGTCAGTCTCAGACTGCAGGCTTTAATTTTTATTAAACTTCATTTTTCTACCAGTCCATCTTTTCAGCCTTCCAAGATCCCTCCAAGTGGCAGCTCAACTGCCAAGCATGTGGAAGGCTGCCCACAATGTGATATTGTCTGCAGGCCTGCTGAGAACACACTCCATCCCTCAGCCAGGTTATTAACACAAAACTTAAAACAGTATTGGCCCCAGTATCAATTTGGCCACCCACGGGATACCACAATTCTCTGAGCCTGGCTGCTCAGTTTTCCACCAACCTTGTAGTCTTCTCATCCAGCCTGTATCTCCCCACTTTCACTACAGGGATGATAAGTGAGACCATGTAAAAGACCTTGATAAAGTCAAGGTAAATGATATCTACTGCTCTTCCCTCATCTAATCCAGCTCTCTGAGAGAAGACAATCAGGCCAATTCAGGATCAATTTGCCCTTGGTAAATCCAAAGTGGCTGTTCCAAATCACCATCTTGTTTTTCATGCACCTGAAAAGAGGAGGCCATTATTGAGGATTTGTTTCATAATTTTCCTGGGAACTGAGGTTAGGTTGACCAACCTATCACGCTCTGGATCCTATTCTTGCGAAAAGACAGGAGATTTGCCTTTTTCCAGTCATCTGGAAATCTCCTCTGATAACTACAACCTTCCAAAGATTAAAAGTAGTCAGCAGCCTTGCACTAATAATGACCAGCTCCTTCAGCACCCTCAGATGCATCCCATCTGGTCCCATGGAGCAGTCTTCATCCAGTTTGCTTCCGTTAGTCCCTAACTCTGTCTTCCTGTATCATGGTTAGTATTTCACTCCCTCCGACTGTGCCACTAGGCTCAGGGAACCCAGGAGGTTTGTAAGCAGACTTTGCTAGTAAAAACCGAAACAAGGCACTGAGCACTATGGCTTTTTCCACGCTGTTCTTAAGTAGGTACCATACTTTGTCAGAGCGTGCCCACATTTTCCTTCATCTTTCTTTTGTTGCCAAAATAATGACAGACACTTTTCTTGGTGTTGTTCATATCCTTTGGCAATTCCAACTCCAACTGAGCTTTGATCTCTGAATTCCATTCCTGCATGCCTGGGCAATGCTTTTGTATTGTCTGGGTAGCTCAGCCCCACTTCCACCTTCCAAACCTTCACTTTTGGTGTTTGAGTTCAGGCAAGAGTTGCCCATTTGGCCCAGCTGTTCCTCTGCCGTGCTTGCTCACATTTCAGATCACTGGAGACTGGTTTCATGCCATGAGCATGATGTCTTTGAGTATCAACTCACTTTTTTAGGCTCTGTCATCTAGACAGGCAGGTTTCTTGAACAAGCCCAATTCTCTTCTCCTGAAGCCGAGAATCTTCATTCTGCTACTTGCCTTCCTTACTTCTTTTAAAATCTTAACTCTTAAGGTTCTGGTGTCACTGCTGTCAAGGTTGCCTTTAACCTGTACATTTCATACTACTTCCTTCTTGTTTCTGAGTAACAAACCAGCATCTGGGTTAAACAAATGTTCAACGCTCCACAAAAATTGGCTGGACTGCTTTTATCCCACCAGGTGGCTCCTCCGTATGTCAGAGCAATTTTACATTCCCAGAGAATCCTGGTCCTACAACTGTGAGCTTTCTTCTAGTTATTTAAGGCTTCATCATCTTCCTCTCCCTGATCAGGCAATTTACAGCAGATGCCCCCACAGTGTTCCCCATGCTGGTCTCCCCACCGATCCTGACCCCCGAGATCTCATTTGGTTTGTTGCTCACTCCAAAGCCAAGGAAAGCTCCAGGCAACAAGACACTTGTTAGTGTAGAATACAACTTCCACTCATTCCCCTTCCTTATTTCCCAGAAGCACTTGTATCCTTCAATCACAGCACTCTGCATGAGCTACACCACCCTGTCTCTGTGATGCCAAAGAGGCCACAACTCTGCAACTGTGCCGATACTCCCAATTCCTCCAGTTTCTTCCCCAGGCTGTGTGTGCTCAGTGTCACACTCCCTTCTCAGGGCAAGTGAGCCTCCTGCAGCCTGCTGTCCCTGGCCAACTCTGTCCACCTTCAGCCTTCCTCTACATGTCTCTTGAGGGTTGTCTCCAGCCCCACAGGTTCCCCAGTTGTGGAACTTCCTTTATTTTAATCTGGAGCTTGAAACACCAATTATCTATAAAATGAACTATTCCCTGTTAGCATGGTAGGGTGTGGAAATAACAAGCAAGAGAACACCCTCCGCATTCCTTGTAAAACCACAAAATTCAAGGCATTATTTTGCTTAAAAACTCAGCTATGATAAGACAATATTGTTACTGGAAAAAAAATTCTGGTTTGGCTTTTTGTCTTTCATTATTACACAAGAATTATTTTCCTTCTCTTTTTTAATAATAGGAATCAACATTTGCATTCCTCTTTGAGGTGCAGCAGTGTTAAACCACTGCCCATCTGCTGTGAAAGAGGCAATCTGCACTGTAGATTTGAATGTAATGAATTTATTCAATGAACTGTAATTTAAAGTGGTTCTGCATTCTGCTGCAACTTATCAAGCAAAAGAGTCTGAAATTTGATATAAAACTAAATAATTTAAACAGAATAGGAATAATTTCTTATACTCTTCATAGATTTTTTTTTGTCATAACCTTAAAGAGGGCTGTCCCTGCAACATCTGTTTTCTTCCTAAAGGTAGCCAGTAAGCAGACATGGAGCAATATCATTACATAAACAGGACAAGGGAAGTACAGTAAATAATTCTGCTTAACTGAGTGCTTGCAATGCAAAACAGTATGTATTTTTTTAAAAGCTGAAAGGACTACTAGAGGTAAATGTTTAATGTATTTTTTAAATATAAAAGTTGAATGAAAATATACTCACAGACCTGTTTAATAGCTACACAATAAAGTACACAATACTCCCACAAGGCTGAAAACTCAGTTTATCAATAAATTCTTGGAACAGTTTTTAAGGTAACTTCAAATTTTCCTTTCTTCTTTTAGAGTTTATTGTCTTTGAAAAGCTTGATTAATTTCAATTATATTAACAGCAACATAGCTTTTAAATTACAATTCTGTATTTGGGGGGGCATTTATTTCAATCAGAGTTTTGAGATTTTATGTACTCCTAAGTACCTGCTTTTTTTTTTTAATGACTGAATTATACAGAGGGCAACATGATTTACAAATTAAGCATTAGTAATATTGTCTCAAAATACCACTGAAGGTGTGTGGAATTAATGTAATGGACCTGTTTGTCAGATCATACTATCAAAAAAACAGAAAACAATTTGTGAAAAATGCGTAAGAGCTGAAACTAAAACATGTTAAGAATTATTAGTCATGCAGAAATACAACTTCCATTAAAATGAAAAAGAGTAACATTTATGCCTGTAAATAACCCCTTGTGTTAAAGCAATTCTGCTGTAGGTAAAAATATGAATTAATGGTACAGATTTGACATTCTGAGTAGTCCTGGCCATATGCAGGCACGAAAGAGCCAAGATTCTGTACGAATCTGTATCTGCTGGATAATTGCTCCAGTTTAGTTCTGACAAGCTGGTAAGTAGAAAAGCTTTAAAAATCGCACTTTACTATTTTTGTGTGTAACTGTGTATGGTGAGTAGGTGTATGTTCCGGGGAAGTTGCTCCATCCCTGTTAATCCGGCAGTTCCATCCCTCAGGAACTTCTACTTTTGCAGAACTTTCTGTGCAAGCAGAAGCGCCGCTGCCAGAGCGGCGCCATCGCTACGGCGGGAACCGGCACCACTGCGAGCCAGAGACAACGTGACCCGAGAAACACAGAAGCTGGAGCGCTGGAAACGGCACTTTGGGGGAGAAAACTGAAACCCAGCCTGCAAGCGGCCGGGCCCGGCTGTCCGCTGCCCACAGGCCGGGCGGCCTCCGCGCCCCACCCCGCCCCGACACGCGGGTTTCCCCGCTGCGGCCCCGGGTGCGCGGCGGGATGGCGGCGGCGCTGCTGGACCTGGCGCACTGGAGCACCTGGGCGGTGTGCGCCGTCATCAAGCTGCCGCAGCTGGCGGCGGTGCTGAGGGCCGGCTCGGCGCGGGGGGTCAGCGTGGGCAGCGTTCTGCTGGAGCTGGCCGGGTAAGGCGGCGGGCAGCCGGGGACAAGATGGAGGGCGACACGCGGCGGCTGCGCCTCAGCGGGGCTCCCCTCAGCGGGGCTCCCCTCAGCGGCCGGCGGGCGGGAAGCGGGGCCGGGGAGCTGCGGGGCGCTCCGCCGCGGCCGTTCCTCTCGTCGCGGCTCCGGCCAGGCGTGAGGACGTGCTGAGTGGCTGTTGGAAGCGGGCAGGGGAGGTGGGGCTGGCGAGCAAGACCCTTCTTCTCGGTTTTAAAACCGCTCCGTGTTATAACTCACGGTGAGCCCGCCGGCTCCTGGTGCGGTGTGCGAGTGCGGCGTCCTGCCTTCAGGGGGTTCACAGACTCTTCGGGAGCAGAAACTGCCCGTTTTAAAGTGTTTCCGCGCTGCTGGTTAAAGGGAAACTCGACTTTTTCAGTTTGCTCCCAGGTAGCTGGAGGCAACGTCTGCTGTTGGGTTTAAGCCATGCATTTAGGTTATTAGATGGTCTGTGTGCCCTGTTGGGCAGGTGGTTGTACTAGTTAGACAGGCTTCTCTCACCAGAGTAAGTAAAACATAATCATTCTTTAAGAAAATTATAATCCATGTCAAACTCCAAAGTTTTATCAGTCTGTAATAAGCTTACATGGGCTAGGCTTATTAAATCTTGCTTAAAGAGGATTGTATGGAATGAAAAATAAACTGAGTGCATGCACGCTCAAATGTGGGTACAAGTATGTGAGAGAAGATACCCTGAAAAGCTAAAGCCTCGGGTTTGCCGAACCGAGGGATAGAGGTGGCCAGAACAGCCGGATGGCTGGTAGCGCACCACACCAAGCTAAAAAAAAGGGCTTTTTGTCCGAAAAAATCGCCTCACAAAAATGGTATGTCATTTCTGAAGGTGCCTGTGCCTTGTTAGGGACACAGCTGTTGACCCCGGCCGGTCTGGCGCTGCGGAGGCTTGGCCGTACAGACGCCTTTCTGCACGGAGCCATGCAGAATCCCCTTGGCCTCTGCTGCGGCCGTTCCCTGCCTGCATTTCTCCATTACACTGAACCCCTGTTGTTGCTGTTTACCCTTAATACACCTCAGAGTACACGAACTAAATCCTAGTTCCATCAGAGATAACACACCCCACAGCCCCAGCCAAAAAGTGTTGGTAGCATTTTAAAATCAGTCATGGGTGTTGGTGGTGTGCACTGAAAAGGCTTTTTAACTAATGTTTCAGATGAGCGTGGAGGAGCCATAAATGTCTTCGCAGCACTTGTGTGGTAACGACAGTACCCACACAGGTACAGGTTGTACTCCTACTCTGGGCAAAACTGTTTTTGAAGAGTTGCAAGGAGGCTTTTTTTGAAATGTTTTTTTATTTAGTAGGCTATTTGTCCTGCAAGCTTGAAAAACTTTTGAGTTTAGTTGAAGAGAGCTTTGAGGCTACTGGTGCAAACTGGGATGATTCTGCAGAGTCAGCATACAGTGACCTGGCAGAGGAGTGACACGGAATCATGGGGCTGATGGCAAGGAGTCTGATTTGACCCTACAAGAAATAAGACTTCCAGGAAGTTCAGATATTTAAATTCTGAATACTGTAAAATCCAGTTTCTTACAAGGCAGGCAGTTTCTTATGCCATCTTTCTACACCAGAAACCATCAATTTTGACTTACATAAAACTATGTCCTAAGAGTCCTTTGTATTTTCTCTGCAGCCTTCAAGTTTCTGTCTGTCCCCATGGACTTCCATGAAAGCTGAAGGAAGTAAAGAAGATGAGATAAAAGTTCAATTCTTTTTAGAATTGCCATTGTTTGGTGCATTTATGAGCACACTCTCATTCTGACCACTACAACTACATTGGGCAATCTTACAACACTGTAGTCTAGACAGCTTGCACTTGGTCTTCATATTTGTTTGATCAGTTTGACAGCTACGCCTATCTGGAGCTTATTGGCACAACAAAATAGTAAAAAGGAAGCTGCAAAGGAGCTGTCCTGTCCCTTCATGTAGTCACTCTGTTTTGTGTCTTTCTGTTCAGCTTCCTTGTGTTTCTGAGGTACCAGATCTATTATGGTTACCCTCTGCAGACATACCTGGAATATCCCATCATCATTGCACAAGGTAATTTTTTTAAGCCATGTTTTGGAAATAAAACAGGGCTTATTCAGCATTCCAAGGCTTTGCATGTATGTACAGTACTCCACTGCAGTGATGTAAATCTGCTGACCAAATTCCAGCTGGAGTTGGGGGGAAGAGGGAATGGACATCTCAGATATAATCGAATTCTTGTAAATTTGATGAAAATGGATGGTTAGGTAGAGGAGAAAGATCTAATTAATATACACACTGGAGTTGCAGTGTACGCTCATCCTTTATCCGGTGACTCCACATGGGAGAGAAACTTTATGAACACTTAAGACTCTAAGAAAAGCTTCATTTTGGAGCTTGCAGTGTTTTAGACATCAAACAAATTTGAGAGACAAAACATGCAAGAAATGAGTTTCCATAGACATGGTGCCCAGTGGAACTGTCTAGGATTGCATTTGGGCCCCTTCTCTCCCTTCTGTGATGAGTGATCTTTTATTTATTTCAGATGTCATTCTCCTTTTGTTTATTCTGCGTTTCAGTGGAAACATGAAACGAGCTTTGTTCTATGCAGTCACGTATCCTTTGGAATCTGGGATTTTTGGTTTATGTAGCTTGTTTATTAGTTCTTTGCATAGCAGCTATGTCATTTTTTGTTTTGTGCTACCGCTGTAAATCATTTTCTGTTGCCCCTCAATATACATTCCACATTCGCATGTTGGTCTCTGGGGTCACAGTAACATCTCTGCAAGCAGTAAGCTTTATATGTAGTTGTGCTTTAGAAGGCCCACGACTGATAAGGAATAAGACCAATTCTTAATTTACATCTTTGCTAGAGATACAGGGTGGAAATAATGAATCTTTTTTCCTTTGATTGATGAACACAGCAGTGTGGATTTGTTGGGGTTTTTTTTTTGTTTTTTTTTTTTTTTTTTTTTTTTTTAAATAGGATTTGGGCTTAAATCTTGTGCTTTGGAGCAGGCCTTGAGAAACTGTTCAACCATAGACAGCGTGAAAAATAGGAATACTTAGCATTTCAACCAATGCTTAATATGTTTTATTTAGATTGTGTAGTCTGTTACAAAGTTTCAGTAAGATTATTTCCAGATGTTTAAAAAAATCTAATTCCCCAAGCAGTTTTGAGAGTTTTGGTATCCTAGAATTTTCAGTGCTATGAAACTTAACATAATGTAAGATTCTGGGGGGGCTGGTACATGCTAACACTGCGGAAGTGGATAATAGACCTGGCCATGGTAAGTGCTGCATGATTATTTGAAATTAGGTCCATGTATTAAATAATTTTTTTTCTAGACGTTTTGATTAGTGAAATCGCTCCTTATATTTGTTATTTGAAGAATTAATAATTTGGGTTAGCTTTCATAACAATCCCAGTTTTCAAATACAGCTGTTTCTCTTCTGTGAGTAGCTGGAAAACATAGTACTGGCAATAGGGACTCTGTGAAAAAAAAAAATGTTCTGAGGCAAAGTTGTTAATTGTTGTGCTTTGATTAAAACTAGCAAAGGTTTAAGAAGTTAAAAAAAGATTGACTCTTTAGTCCTAATGCCATAATCCCCATTAATAAACCTTTAACATGACAGGAAGAGATTAGAGCATCAGTCAAAGCATTTGAAATGGGAAATGTTAAATATTTCACAAGATCTTTTTTCCCTTTAGTCCTGGAATTTTGCAAGAAAAATATCATCTGATAATGCCCTACAGAGGTTAAAGATGGTCTTTTCCCTTTTTACCAGAAGAGAGTTAATTGAGATGGAGTTGCTCATGCAAAAGATGATACAAATGGGGATAAAAGCTTTTAAGCCTAACACTGATCCTTACTTGCAAGGGAAATCTGGGCATGGCACAGAGACCGATGTGGAGGTCCCCTCTACCTGCTGCCTTTAGAAACCCCCCCTTAAAGGATGACAGAGTGAATAGTCTGTTCTCTTCATTATTTTTTTCCCACCAATTGGACTCATTTTCCACACATTCTTGTCAGTTTTCTCATTCTTTTATGGTTTAGTTTGCCAGACGTAATGGTAACAGATGGTCTGAATCAACCTTGCTGTTTAGACTAGATCAGTCTCATTCCAGCTAACTTCCATAAACAGTTTTATGTAGCAGGTTGAGAGGCTTTTTTATTTCTTTGCTTCTTATTGTATTTGCCTTTATCGAGCATTTGCCAACAGCAGTAGCAATTATGCTCTTTGAGCTTCTTTCTGGGCAGTACCTCAGAAATCAGTCCCATGTTTCTGGCAATTTTTTGCTTCATGGTTCCTTAGTAATAAGCTGAAATGCTTGGGTTGCCAAATACTGAAAAAGTTTTGTTTTGTTTTTTATTTTAAATGAAAAAATATGTCCTGGTTTTTAGTAAGTTACATACTAAAGCCGTAAGCTAAACACTCAGATGATAACATGGCAGAGGCAGAGGTTCTTTCTCATTTTACCTGCTTTTCAGAACTTGTGCACATTCATCAGTGCGGCCAGTAAGCTGGCTCAGCTGCGGTGTCTCTGGCAGACAAAAGATTCTGGACAAGTGAGCGCCTTGACCTGGAGTATGTCTGCATACACCTGCGCAAGTAAGCTATGGGCAGCTTGGTGTGAAGCACTGAGTTTTCCTTTTTTAAAGCCGTATCTTCTCCTGATGCCTTCTTTCGCTAGGTCTTTACTGCATCATGCAGGTAAGAATCTCGCCTAATGTAGTTTCCCTGAGTGCCAACTTCTGAGACTCAGCTACCACACAGCCTCTTGAAATCATGTCTTATCATTGACACCAGCTCAGTCACAATGACACTTTGCCTTAGAAAACATGCAAATATGGTCAAGGGAACCTGATGCAGTTAAAGTAACTGAAAGAGTGTCTTTATGAAGAAAAAATTTCAGTGTTGTAGGATTTAATAAAATTACTAGTGATCCAGCATGAAAAGGTGCTAAATTTTGTGTCAGACAATTGGTCAACACTAATTCTGAAAAGTCATCTACAAATAAATATATACTTAATGCTAAATACCTTCAACTCTCTGACTACATGTAAATATATTTCTCAACAGAGGAATATTTAAGGATGTACCGAGAATAGTGATTTGTGCAGTTCATGTGTTAATTACCAAGTGGTCCACATGAACAGTTCTTCAAACAGCTATTTGTCAGAAGTGCCTTTATCATGTTCACAAAACTTGTTTAAAATATTCTTACTATAAAACAATAGTGGTGTTGGATCTATTTTCCCGTGAAACAAATGTTTTTAAGTCAATAATTAGAAGTTGTGGTACATGCACTGAACAATGGCAATAAACTTTTAAAATGGTTTTAGTCTGCTGCAAATGTGAAATAATTAATGTTTAGATTTGTTGTGGGAAGGAAAGCTGAATTCCTCATACTTGCAGAAGCCTAAAAGCATGCATGTGACCATTCACAATGGTTAAGTCACGCTAACTCAATTGTGGGTGTAGCTCAGTATCAACTACTGGAGGAGGGGGCTGAACACAAGGAGAAGCAGTAAACTCTGACCATATCCAATCTAGTGAGATAGATATAAAAATTCTATCAGTGATTTTCTTATTAAAAAAAAGACCCTCAGCTTTCAGAGCTTGATCTCTGAAGCTAAAAGAGGGAAGAGCGGCAATGCCTATACAATGTGTATTTTCATGCAGGATTATCCTCTATTGAAAAATAGGTATTCATCATTTTTAGAAGGGTATAAATGTGTCATATCTAGCCTACTAATCAGAATTCATTCAATTTACAGCAAGAATAGTTACAACGGTAATGACTACGAATGATCTCGCAGGTGAGTGAAGTATGGGACAGCCCCTGTCCGAGGTAACAGATGCCATGGTAGCTGTGAGCTGTTTTGTGAAAGCAGTTGTCTGGTCTCAGGAGAACAAACCATGAACCTGGTGGGTTAGCACGGCGAGGGAAGGAGTTACTGCTAAAAAAAGTAGCACGGGGTTTCAAATCAGCCAAATACCTGGAGAAAACAAAAAAAACCTGCTTATGTTTATCACATGGTGACAAGTGACATCGTGACAAAAGCCATTATGTCTTTCAAAAGGCAAAAGCACTACAAAACTAATTATGAAAATAGCAGAATAAAGCATTAAAATATTTGTTATTTAAATACGTAAATAAATAAATTTAGTCAAATACAATGTAAAAAATCTGTAATAATTGAGTGATAGCTTTTCAAGTAATAAATATTTCCTTTCATTACTGTGGGGTTTTTCCATTAGAAAATTATTCTAGAAAACTAAAGTTCAGCTTAGTATATGAATAGTTTCAGGCACAACATTCTGAAAGTTTATGGCAAGCTGAAAATGAAATGGTAGGCTGGTAAGAAACTCACAAAAAACTGGATTAAAATATATAATTTGCAGCTGATTTCATTATAAAGCAAATTTATTTAACAGCTTCTCACCATCCTGACAAAACTGGAAGAGCTAAGGAGTACAGCAGATTTTTCAATGAATGATTCAAAATCAATATTTGGTGGATGAAAGAACAGTTAACAAAATCACGCTGTACTTTATTTGGTGGTTCCTTGTTCTAGTTCAAAACTGGTGTTTCATCAGAAACATCATATGAATGGATTTTTTTTTTAAGCTCCCCTTTGCAGCACAGTTAGGCTCTAGTTTCACAAGCAGTTCAAGTGGCTCTTTCCCTGGAAAAGGAAGTCCCCTTTTTCGTCACTCATTTTCACCCCCGCGCTCGTTGCTTTCTCTTTGCCAGAGTAAGAGGTTTGTGGCCATGCAGTTAACTGGATCGCCAAAAAAATAGGTATAATGCACACAGAAATTTAGTCCAGGCCAGTTACCGAGTCCAGTTCACCCACAGCTACACACTTACACTGATTAGAAGTGAGAGAGATATATTGAGGGGAGGAAGGGAGAAAAACAGCATGAAAGTAAAAAGCTGGCTCTTGAAGGTAAAAGTGGCTCTGGTTAAAGCTGCTTTTTAAAATATAGCACAGTACACTTTGGAACAGGGAAGAGGTGGCAGCAAACATTGGTACTGTGCTGCTCTAATGGCAAATGTTTCCAGTTAGCTTCTAACACTGAACACTTTGGCATGCTCCTCTTGGTTTCATACCCATGTGTGAAACTGTCAAATATCATGTATTTCTGAAACAAAGTTTTATGTACATTTCTGTGAAGATTCCACTTACCAAATGGATATTAGATATATCTGTACTTCACACTGTGGTCTGACAGGTAGAGATACCGTGCTGATTTTGGTTTAAAAAAAATCTGAAAGTTAATAAACATCCTGAAAAACTGCTTTTTTCTCAATTGTCAGATTTCCTCTCATCAAAATCTGACAGATAAAAGTGTTTCCTGTCTCCCTGAAGTCTAAACTTAACAGATGGCAGTAGAGAATAATCCCTTTATTCTAAAGAACACACGCAGCTATACAGAACACGTGAGCTGTGGCTCCTGAGTTTAATTTTAGGTGTAAATATAAATTTGTATGAGGTTAGTCGAACTTGAACTATTCTCCTGGTTTTGTTATAAAAGAATTAAAGGCACCGTAGTGTATGATTTTCAGATACCACTCACAAGTGCTAAATGCTCTTCTCTGCTATATTTGAGAATTTCTGGGTTCCTGAACATGGTAATTTAATTGACTGAAAAGAGTTGCAGAATGAGAACCAGCCTGTTTGTACACCAGTGAAGGTTTACAAAAGGCGTCTGCTGAAAATGACAGCAGTTGATTCTTTTGGATTTATGCTTACAAGATTTTTTTTTTTTCCCTTTTAGTTCTCATCCGTTTCATAACCATGCTCATTCTCAATATTTGGGTCACAGCCACAATCCTGCACTACAGGAAAACTAAAAAGACTGATTAGAAGACACTCAAAAACACACAACACAGTTATCTTCAAAAAAACCTGATATAATTAAGCTTAAATAACAGAACAAAGGTTGAGGAAGCTCGCTCTCTCTTAAGCCTAGTATTTATCCCTAAGCATAATTGGTAGAGTCATGCTTACTTTCTCTTAGAAATAATACTGATAAGATACTTAATTTAAGCAGCATATTTTTATTGGTCATTTAAGACAAGTTTCACTGATACCACATTTTCTCTGGACTTTTTTACTAAAGGAACAAGGTATTTTGTATTTAGATGGTCATTGTATCACTTCAGTACTTTCTGGTTACATATAAGCAATTTTCTTCAATTATACAAGAGCAATTTTGCAACAACATATCAACCCGTCTTTCTGCCTCTGCTGCCAGTTTGAAAAACAGATGTTTGTCATCTTCTTGCAAGCAACTCAATTAGTTAGACATTAACTATTTGTATTTTAGGATGAAAAAAATCTGAGTCAAGGCCCGATCCAAAATAAGGTTCTAAATGTTTTACTATATCACAAATGCAGTTAGTTGGGATTGTAGCACTTACATGCAACACTTAAATAGTACAGTTTATACAGTTGATACAGGATACGTGTGGCTACTTCCTTCAAAATACCCTGCTTTTATTAGGATAAGAGCAAACACTCAACTATGAATAATTCTTTTTCAACCTGAGCTCTCATTCACTGGACATACTCTTTTGGGAACAGCAGAGACTCCAGTGTATAGGAATTAATGCAACTTTGACCAATAGAGTTAAAAATTGTGTTCAAGCAAAGTTCCCGAACTGATCCCCCGACCCCCCCAGTGCAATCCGTACCGACCGTGACCGTTTACACGTACAGCTTGGGGCATCACAGCAGACTCCTCTCCAGCCGTTATCAGTTTCTGACGGTACCGCTCTGTGCTTTGTTAGTTTTTAGCCTGTCTGGGCTAAGCGGGCTGAAGAACACAAAGACTTCACATCAATTTCTACTTTGGATATTCTAATCAATTGGTAGTAGTGTATCAAAAAAGGGAAAAAGGATACACTTGAGATTAATTAGGGTTTTTGCTTTTGGAAGTAATGCCTTTCCACCCAAAAGTTACAGAAGTAATCCTAGAGCTCGCCTTCAATTCTCATTACATTCTCTAAAATGAAAAGATACGCCTTTTCAGGAGTTCTTACAGTACTACTGTTAAAACCAAGGCACCCTCGGTCCTGACACCCCTGAAAACTATGGGAAGACTGCACTGACATTTCAGGCAGGTTTTTCCTGCAATGTGCTAAATTACTGGACTCTTGTGGAAGAGCGGGATCTGCAAAAGCAGATGTTTCCGCCTGTGTGCACTCAGCAGACTGAGACCTTCACCATCAGAAAACGGAGCTGCTTTGTAAACTGATTCTAGAGTGTGTGTGTGTGTGGGGAAGAGGTATGTCTGTGGACATAAGATTTCATGTATCTCACATTACTGAGAGCAAGTTCAGAGATGAGGATTTTTTACTGCTTCAGTAAAATGTGTGTTTCCACGGTGGTTGACAGAGTAACTGTAAACATCCTGTTACTGATTTGACTAACGCTGTATAAAATATCTGAAGTGGTCTAAATGGTGGCAGGGGGCATGTGGTACATTTTCCAGGTCATACTAATAAATGCTATTCTTCATGATTGATTAATGTCATTGTTACAGTTAATTTTCATAAAATTTATTTTTTTATTGTTTCTATGCATGGAGAGAAAATGAAATACTCAATATAGGTCATTAATGGACACCTTTCACCTTAATATTCAAAGCATTAGGCTATGTATTAACCTGTAAAACGATAAAGAGCTCCAGCATCCTAAAAGGTAAAACCCACACTTATCATCTCAGTTTTTTAATTAAAGCCTCTTCTTAATAGAGAAAGATCTGTAGAGTCTGAATGCTCTCTGTTATGGACATCTTTCATAGTCCTGAGTGATGCTGCAAAATGAAGACACTCCATTTTGGGTTTGAGGATCGGCACTTCAGGTTGCTTTTTTTAATCATAAAACGCTGAAAATGCATTTAATAAAAATTCTTTACAGGTTACTTAACATATTTTGAATAAATCATCTTAGAAACCTGTGGAAAGAGAGACTGAGGAAAAGAAACAAAGCTGGGTAATTCACAACCTTGAGGTAATTTTGTGGACTTGGAAAGCTGGACCACGAGTTCTTACTCAAACTGCAAGAGGTACGGAAGAAATGAGAAGGTAGCAGTAAATAATTTTACACACTTCCCCCCTCCCCCTGCCCCGAGAACAATTTCTTTCACTTCCGTGAAGCAGATGTACGCTCCAGTCCTGGGCGAGCCCCGCGAAAGCGCAGACCCTGTGGTTTTCCAGTACGTAAACCATCGTCTTCTCAGCGGCTGGATTAAAGGCAATAGCTTGGGACAAGATACACGGGGAGCGTAAATCTTGTTAAACTCGTCGTTCAGCAGTGCCAGGGCGGACACAAGTGAGATGTTTGCTGTGTGAGGCGGCAGCAGACAGAGGCAGGGATTTATTGCAGTGTGCCCAAGCCAGCGAGTGACTTCTCTCCACAGGGCTGGAAGCAACACGTCTCCGTTCACAGAGCCTGTGCAAGTGCTGAATTCCACACACGGTGTCCAGCTCACAGCATGCTCGTGAGGCAACACAGCCCCTCCTGTCCTGGATGATAAAAGTGCAGATCCTGTCAGGGCTTTCAAAAAGCGTGAGTTTTCTTGCTGTAAAAAGACAAGATCTGAATTCTAGTACAGTCCGTTGAATAAGCCCAAATATCTCCAGCGATAGCTGTGATGAACTATGACTGTGCATTTGGTAACAGATAAGCTACAAGCTGCACTTAGCCACAAAGCTCAGTTTAACAGTATGAAAGAGAACCCATTTATCATGAGATTTACTATTCAAAAAAAAAAAAAAAAAAAAAGAAAACCCGACAAGGACGTAATTCCAGAGAGAGCAGGTTGCAGGTCTGAAAGTGAGGGTGTAGACAGCGTGTACTTTACTCTTCCCAAAAGCCGGTTTCTGAACTCTCCTCAGCAAACGGGAACGTCATAGAGAACTGCAAACCCACCATCTCCCCCACCCCACGGGGCTCCACAATGCAGAGTACAACCACGCAGACACAGACGGGTTCCTTTGCGCTACTCTACTCCAGCCAGACGGTATCGCTTGGCCTGCTCAGGAGTCCCCGTCTGACCCCCGAGGCTCTGCCCCTGGCTTATGTTGGGCGCGTGGCTGCTCCCTAGCCTGGTTCTGCTCATCTGATGTGTTAAAATAGAGAATGGAGCAGGGTGGGCAGGCAGACACACACCTCAGCTGGAGCTCAGCTGGATTTTAGAGCAGTTTGACTCTTTGGAGAAAGTCATTCACAATTAGCTAAAAGGTCCCAAATAGCTTACAACTTGCAGAAAGCCTTCATTCACTCCTTTAAGTGAAGCAAAATTACTTTTCCTCCACCAAACAATCATTATCCATTTAAAGACGTATGTAACAAAGGGAAAAAAAAAAAAAGGAAATAACACCTCAGAACCCACAGGAAGAGCTAAGGAACTATTATAAAATGAAAAGCTACATAGATGTGGAGATAACTCAAATGAGGTAGTTTCCCAGCTATGTATTTTCTACGATGATAATAATTACTTCCCTGCTAGTTCTTTTCAGGCTGGTTTGTCCCATTCCCTTCCAGATTCTTCGATACTTGAGATTCATATTTATGTATGAAGCAGAACATGAAATCCTTAGCGTTCATCACTAATAATGGTCTAAGGATGTCCCCGTTTGCAATGTGAAGCTGAAAAAAACCCAAACTTGAAGTAGGATGTTATTAATTTTTTGTACTGAATTGAATTTGCTTTATTTTGAGCTAGAATTCTCCAAGATACTTTAAGAGTTCTTAGAGATGATAGATCTTGATGTCAAATACATGTCCGGGAGCCACAATAAACATCATCGCAAGCACCTGTCAGCTCATCACTTGTGCTGGATCCAATTGCAAGACCTGGGCAGTCTGACAGACCCGAGGCCTCACGGACCTCAGGCGTTTCCTGCCTGATGCCAAGACAGACATACAGACCTCTTCAAGTTAAAGATGTCAACTATTCCATCCTACCTTGGAAGTTGCTTGGGGCAAGCACCAACTCCGTCTTGAAAAATAACCCAGTATTCGGACCATGGGTAAAATAAAGAGGCGTTTTACACTACACGATCCCCCTGATGAAGTTCAATCAGGGATACCTAAAGGACAATTTAAATAATTGTTATAATTTTATTCACGCCCTGTTTGGATTCATAATTTCGGCTCGTAACTGTCAAATTGTCAGTGGCCTAAACGGGTACTTCTGTATATTATGTGGTATGCTTGACTCACACAAGGGGAGCTGTGAGAGGGCAGACATCTTGTTTTATCTGTCAAGTATTCTGGAAACTAATTTAAATGACAGAACCTGCACCAACGTAAAATGTGACAAGTTACTTAATAATGATTTTGATTCAAATTTAATAGTAACATGGCTCCATGCTGAAAATAAATTCTACTTACCACCTTATTGTAACTGCAAATCACCTGTGTATATACCTACTCTGGGATGTACATGGTTTCTGCTTTTGAACTTGGAGGCTTTGGCCAGCAGTACCAAGATGCTGACCTGTCTTGTATGAGATGAAAAGCATAAATTGAACTTGTGTAAAGCATATTTTAAGTTACTCAATTACTGTAAAGAAATCCTTTCCCCTCTGAGCAACTGACTTCCTATATATTCCACTGAGCTTACTTCCAAGACAGTGACTTGAGATATTTTCAATTGCTTTCCCTGAAATGCACCATCAGCATGACTTACAGTCCTCACGGTCTCTCTGAGCTGAAGAGTATTCTCTCAGTGTTGGATGTTTCTTCTAAGCTTGCACACGTGCCTTCCAGTAATTAAACTCCCATTGCTGTAGCTCTGAGCAGTATATGAAGCATGCGGGGGAGCTGCCTTACTGTATCTATCAAGCCCTTCCACTGCTCCAGAGCAGACAAATGGCTACACAGATCCTACTGAATCTCAGTTGGTCCCCGGTACACAGGGACTGTAATATGCTGGACAACACGATGCAGACATGTGAGACCACAGGATCCAGCAACAGATGCAAATCCAGAAGCTGCAGCCAGACCTGTCCCTAGCTACAAGATCAGCTTAGAGAGCCTATTCGAAAAATGGAACACAGCTGAGGTAAGAGAGAACACTAGGGCCAGCAAATGTGAAAAAGGGTTCAGACACTGGGATTCTTGGCTCCTTCAGCCTTAAAACAGATAAGGTATTTAATATGTCAGATACCTCCAAATAAAGTTTCCACCAATTCACTCGTTAATAAAAAGTAGCACGTATCCAAGATAGCAATTCAGTGCCTGAAGTCTAAAGAGTTGGCAAGCCAAAGGAAAAGAGGATTGGCAGTGATCCTGCACAGCTGATATATTTCTTGTCGGGTGGCCATGCTTACCAAGTGGTGCAACAGCATCCTGGGCAAAAAGAATCCCAGAGAGCTAGCAAGGGTGATGACAAAGGACAAGAAGAACCAGATGGCCCAAGAGGCACACCAGGACACGACAACAGAAGACCACACGTACAAGTAGGCTCACACCTCTGAACAAACGCTGAGGCCTAGACCTCCAAATGGGGTGATACAACTGAAGCATCACATGCAGTTGCCTTGGCTGTGAAAGCATTTCTGTGTAGCTCCCCCAAGCTACCTAAAAAGGGCTGCAGAGACATGCAGTCACTGCACACTCTGCCCTTTCTTTTCAGGGTGAAGATGTGTCTTTCCAGATTTCTCTGAGGTGTGCAGGACTACATACACTTATAACTTTGTAATTTCACTGCCTTTCACTGTGACTTTCATTTTGAAAGATCACTTCAATCCTGGCACTTCTGTAAGGTTACGGGGGCAAAAGCAGCAGTGGTCAAATCTAGTTTCACACTTGCAATATCAAGTATCAGGTAGTAACTTGATTTTCTTACCCTTATAAAACAATGCTTCCTACCTACAAAGGGGTAAAGATTCAAAACACTGATCTTCATAACAAGGCCTGGTAATTAGCATCCCCATGCTAATAAATTACAGTTCCTCTGAGTCCCCCCCTCCTGGAGCTATGGTTTTACAGCGAGCTTTTCCATTCACTGCAGTTGCTTCTGGTGAGAACTAGATTCAGTGTGTTCAACACAGTGTTCTTTTCCACCACATGCTTCTCAGTAGACTTGTCTCATTTCTCAGATGACCATATCTGAGTACATCACTGTCCACTGTACAGGCAACTTCAACAAAGAATATTTATTAGTTTCAGACCCACTCCATGAACAGCTTTTACAGAGTTCCAAAAGAAAACTCCTTCCCACTCTCATGAGGGGATACTTCAAAGCAGTAGATGTAAACCCCTGATCCATGGGATGCTGATAATCCTCTAAGTGATTTACAGGATCATCTTAACAAGTTATCATTTCAATTTAAAGTGCAGTGTATGCAGAGATGATAGTCCATAAATTATTCTCAAGATCAACTGTAATGCACTGAAAAGGCACCAAGCCTGTCAGAGTTCACGTAGTATCTATCTGGATGATTCTCTTAGTGTATGGTTTAGTCTTAGGCAGTCCTGTAAGGAGCAGGGACTTGGACATAATGATCCTTACAGG